GTGACCGCTGGTTGTGGTGACCGCTGGTGTGGTGACCGCTGGTGTGGTGACCGCTGGTGTGGTGACCGCTGGTGTTGACCGCTGGTGTGGTGACCGCTGGTGTGTGACCGCTGGTGTGGTGACCGCTGGTGTGGTGACCGCTGGTGTGGTGACCGCTGGTGTGGTGACCGCTGGTGTGGTGACCGCTTTTGTAGTGACCGCTGGTGTGGTGACCGCTGGTGTGGTGACCGCTGGTGTGGTGACCGCTGGTGTGGTGACCGCTGGTGTGGTGACCGCTGGTGTGGTGACGCTGGTGTGTTGACCGCTGGTGTGGTGACCGCTGGTGTGGTGATCCGCTGGTGTGGTGACCGCTGGTGTGGTGACCGCTGGTGTGGTGACCGCTGGTGTGGTGACCGCTGGTGTGGTGACCGCTTGTTGTGTGACCGCTGGTGTGGTGACCGCTGGTGTGGTGACCGCTGTGTGGTGACCGCTGGTGTGGTGACCGCTGGTGTGGTGACCGCTGTGTGGTGACCGCTGGTGTGGTGACCGCTGGTGTGGTGACCGCTGGTGTGGTGACCGCTGGTGTGGTGACCGCTGGTGTGGTGACCGCTGGTGTGGTGACCGCTTTTGTAGTGACCGCTTTTGTAGTGACCGCTGGTGTGGTGACCGCTGGTGTGGTGACCGCTGGTGTGGTGACCGCTGGTGTGGTGACCGCTGGTGTGGTGACCGCTGGTGTGGTGACCGCTGGTGTGGTGACCGCTGGTGTGGTGACCGCTGGTGTGGTGACCGCTGGTGTGGTGACCGCTGGTGTGGTGACCGCTGGTGTGGTGACCGCTGGTGTAGTGACCGCTGGTGTGGTGACCGCTGGTGTGGTGACCGCTGGTGTGGTGACCGCTGGTGTGGTGACCGCTGGTGTGGTGACCGCTGGTGTGGGTGACCGCTGAGTTGTGGTGACCGCTGGTGTGGTGACCGCTGGTGTGGTGACCGCTGGTGTGGTGACCGCTGGTGTGGTGACCGCTGTTTGTGTGACCGCTGGGGGTGGGGGTTGACCGCTGGTGTGGTGACCGCTGGTGTGGTGACCGCTGGTGTGGTGACCGCTGGTGTGGTGACCGCTGGTGTGGTGACCGCTGGTGTGGTGACCGCTGGTGTGGTGTGACCGCTGGTGTGGTGACCGCTGGTGTGGTGACCGCTGGTGTGGTGACCTGGTGTGGTGACCGCTGGTGTGGTGACCGCTGGTGTGGTGACCGCTGGTGTGGTGACCGCTGGTGTGGTGACCGCTGGTGTGGTGACCGCTGGTGTGGTGACCGCTGGTGTGGTGACCGCTGGTGTGGTGACCGCTGGTGTGGTGACCGCTGGTGTGGTGACCGCTGGTGTGGTGACCGCTGGTGTGGTGACCGCTGGTGTGGTGACCGCTGGTGTAGTGACCGCTGGTGTGTGTGACCGCTGGTGTGGTGACCGCTGGTGTAGTGACCGCTGTGTGGTGACCGCTGGTGTGGTGACCGCTGGTGTGGTGACCGCTGGTGTGGTGACCGCTGGTGTGGTGACCGCTGGTGTGGTGACCGCTGGTGTGGTGACCGCTGGTGTGGTGACCGCTGGTGTGGTGACCGCTGGTGTGGTGATCGCTGGTGTGGTGACCGCTGGTGTGGTGACCGCTGGTGTGGTGACCGCTGGTGTGGTGATCGCTGGTGTGGTGACCGTGTGTGGTGACCGCTGGTGTGGGTGACCGCTGGTGTGGTGACCCGCTGGTGTGGTGACCGCTGGTGTGGTGATCGCTGGTGTGGTGACCGCTGGTGTGGTGACCGCTGGTGTAGTGACCGCTGGTGTGGTGACCGCTGGTGTGGTGACCGCTGTGTGGTGACCGCTGGTGTGGTGACCGAACAATAATAATAGAACGAAAATAACATTAACGATAATAATTAACTAAAATAACAACAACAGTAATAATAATATCAGAAACATATCAATAACGAACAAAAAAAGCTTGGACGACATAAACACAGGTGAGTACAACACCTGCGGTGGACAGGTGTCTGAGTGTCGTGCGGACGACCGCACCAGTTACGCGACGGTCGTGAAGTCGCGTAAAAGATCGCGGCGGCGGCGGACGTCCGGAAACAGCGCGAGGAATTGATACCAGCGGAAAGATCGTGGGGGAATAATTATATTAAGAGCACTAATAATAATAATAATAATAATAATAATAATAATAATAATAATAATAATAATATAATAATAATAATAATAATAGTAATATAATAATAATAATAATAATAATAATAATAATAATAATAATAATAATAATAATATTAATAAAATTATTATTATTATTATTATTATTATTATTATTATTATTATTATTATTATTATTATTATTATTATTTGCCTTCGCAGTTTTTGCTGTTAATAATATGGTAAATTTAATATTTTATAAGTTGCTTTGCTTGTGAACTAATCGCTGGCGTTTGTGTACTGATATCTGTGTGTGTAATCACCTAATTGTGATCACTTAATTGTCGTTGCAGGGGTCTAGTCACAGCTCCTGACCCCGCCTCTTCACTGGTCGCTACTAGTTATCCGTGGTTGTGTTGGTATCAATGTATCTGTACGTTAGTCTGGGTGTTTGGGTGATGGTATCGGTGTATTTGTGTTTATATCAGTGTATTTGTGCGCTGTATCAGTGTTTGTGTGTTGGTATTAGTGTTTGTATACTAGTATCAGTGTTTAGGTGATGTATCAGTGTTTCTTTGTTGGTATCAGCGTGATTTTGTTGGTATCAGTGTATTTGTGTGTTGATATTAGTGACTGTGTGATGGTATTAGTGTCTGAATGTTTGTTTATATCAGTGTATTAGTGTTTTGATGATGATATCAGTGCTGGTATCAGTGTATCTGTGTGTTCGTATCAGTGTTTAGGTTATGATATCAATGTCTGTGTGTTGGTATCAATGGGTTCGTGTGATGGTATGGGTGTTTGTGTAATGGTATCAGTGTTCGTGCGACGGTATCAGTGTCTGTGTGTTGATGTCAGTGTGTTTAATGTTAACTTCAGTGACTGTGTGATAGTTTCATTACTAACATATAAGTATCGTGTGCTGGAAAAATTTTTTGTGATAGTATCAGTGTTTGAGTGTTGGTAATGATGTAGGTGTAATGGTGTCGGGGTTTGTGTGTTAGTTTCAGTGTTTCTGTGTTGGTATCAGTGTATTTTCTGCTTCTAAGAGATAAGATAAGATAAGATTTCGTTCTGATTTTTAACCCCGGTGGGTTAGCCACCCAGGATAACCCAAGAAAGTCAGTGCGTCATCGAGGACTGTCTAACTTATTTCCATTGGGGTCCTTAATCTTGTCCCCCAGGATGCGACCCACACCAGTCGACTAACACCCAGGTACCTATTTGCTGCTAGGTGAACAGGACAACAGGTGTAAGGAAACGTGTCGAAATGTTTCCACCCGCCGGGAATCGAACCCTGGCCCTCCGTGTGTGAAGCGGGAGCTTTAGCCACCAGGCCACCGGGCCACCGGGCCAGTGTGTGTTTCTATTAGTTTGTTTGTGTGATGGTATCAGTGTTTGTGTATTGGTAACAGTGTTTGCTTGTTGTATCAATGTTTTTCTGGTGTTGGTTTCAGTGTTTGTGATGTTACCAGTGTTTCTGTGTTAGTATCAGTGTTTGTGTGATGGTATAAATTTTGAGTGTTGATGACAGTGTTTGTGTAATAGTATCGGTATTTGTATCAGATATTCCCAGTAACAGAGAAACAGCTGATCATCAGAGTACAGAGCTCATCCCGAGCGCACAAACAGCTGATCACCGAGACAGACAGCTGATCACTGGTCGATAAACAGCTGATCACGGGGAGTGGAGTCACCGGGAGAGCGGCACTGACCTTTAAAGTACATCATTTCGACCTTTTTTCAACCTTTTCCAAGTGACTTCGGCGAGAATTAATAAGACATAGTATGGAATTTATGGCATTTCAGTGAGAAGACTTTGCGCTCACCAGGGGACTTAATCAATCCTCACAGAGATGGGTAGAAAGGAGCACATGTAAAGCGGAGACACGTAAGGTTGTACTAAACGGACGGACGATGTTATCTGGTGTCTTCAGTAAAACTGGAAACATCGAAGTTCGAGACTGAGTCAGTAGACCCAGAGATTCAGCTGCACCTGCGTCTACATTATACCCCTGTGGAACTTGTGACAAGTTTTACGTGGGAGTGAAACTCCTAGGGACCTGGAGACGAGCATCAACGAACACAGAATGACAAATGAGACGAGCAGCGACTGTACTAGACACCGTAACACAGACACTTATGTGATGAACTCTTCCCCCTCAGCGCCGAATTCATCACTAAGAAAGCCCACAGACGGAACCCGGCCGTAGTACCTGGGATCTACCCTGATTGCTACTACTAACACCATTACACAGCAATCAGCTTCGTTCCTAATTTCTTAAAACTACGTGAAGAGGTGCTGTTGATTCACCAACTCTTGAATCTCGACGTTTCAAGTTGTCTGAGAAACGTTGCTGCCTGTGATATCACTCGTCCGACTCTACACCTCACGTAACGTCACTCTCTCCTGCATATGCTCGTTCTACCCATCTATGTGAGAAGTGATAAAAGTCTTGATAAATGGCATAAACAGCAGCTGCCTCTTCTTAATATCTTTGTCAGTATAGTCTACTGGCAAGTATAAGAAATACTAAAGTAAATTATTACAATACATCATTATTATTATTATGATTATTATTACTGCCACTACTACTATTACTGCTACTACTAATAGTACTACTACTACTACTACTACTACTACTACTACTACTACTACTATAATAATAATAATAATAATAATAATAATAATAATAATAATATATATTATTATTATTATTATTATTATTATTATTATTATTATTATTATTATTATTATGATTATGATTGTTACTTTTTTCATTTAAAAATCTTTAAATATTTGCATTATCTTTCCACGTTATTAACGATGTGTTTTTTTATTGTTGTTTCAGTTGCTGGTGCTGGAGGATCGAGCTCTCACCCAAACATAGCTTGGACATAGAAGAGGTAAGTTAGTTCATACCTGAACTTGAGCTTTGTATCAATATACTACAGAGCTTCTAATTTTATTGTCTAACAAGTTAGGGGTGAACCTCGGAAGTGTGTTTTCTTCAGCTCTGTATGATGCTAACACTGAGGGCATAACATCTTGCCAGACCATCATACACGATGAATTTCGTACCAGTCATGTGTGTGTGGTGTGTGTGTGTGTGTGTGTGTGTGTGTGTGTGTGTGTGTGTGTTGTGTGTGTGTGTGTGTGTGTGTGTGTGTGTGTGTGTGTGTGTGTGTGTGCGTGCAGGAGTGCACACCTGCGTGATCGTCTCCATAAAATAGTATGCAACCTCTGTGATTTAATAATTAACAAAATACAAAAAAAAATGTCGAAATAGTTCAATATTTTATTGTAGGATCATATCTAACTCAGACTTAACAAGAATTTCACTCAGACACGCTCATCAATCTTCCTCTCAGAGCAACAAGAGCAAAAGAGAGTCAGTCGACACACAGTAAATAGCGACACCAACAAGTGTTGGAGGGTGAGAAGGGAAGGGAGGAGAAAGAAAGAGGAAACCGGAGGGGTGGGAGAAGGGTAAAGAGCGAGGAGGAGAGGGGAGAGGGCGAGGCGAAATGCAGGGGGTGAGGAGGTAAGGCGAGGGATAATCGTTGACTATGACAGGGAGAGCGGGGATATATACACGAGGTGTATATTTCTCAGTACATACACTAAGTTACTTTAATCCCTATCTAAGGGATTAAAATATTCTGAATGCTGAACAATTCACATGTAGTATTAATGACCATTTCGTAGTCGATACGTTTCAGATCAACACTTCTGTGGTATAACCAACACGCGTATAGTTACGTCTGCATCCTGCTACTGATAAGCAACGGTATGACACCAGAGAAATGTTCCCTGAGAGATGGTGGAGTTGTGAATCACTTTTACACTTTAATGATCATGAACTGTAATTGTGAGCTGGCTGTAGAGTGTGTGTATGTGTGTGTTTGGTGATTGTAGTGTGGTTGTGAGCTGGCTAGAGTGTGGGTGTCAGGTGATTTGTAGTGTCGCTGCGAGCTGATTGTAAAATGGTGTGGGCTGACTGTAGTGTGTTTGTGAGCTTATTATGTGTTTGTGAGATAATGGTAGTATGATAATGAGATAACTGTATGTTGTGCATATCTATACTGGTTTTGAAACATTATGAGAAATGTAATTTCACCAACAAACTCAATGTGATATACACAGGATTGACTTCGTTCCTTCTCAAGAGTGTAACTCTTGCAATAAACCTAGCTAGGCAAAATTCAATAATTAACAAGAATTTAGAGTTTTCACACAAACAGGTTAAATATTAATGAAATGTAAATTTGAAACGACCGCTAACAGTGATTGCTGTGGCTGTGCTGGAAGAACAGTGATCGCTGTGGCTGTGCTGGAAGAACAGTGATCGCTGTGGCTGTGCTGGAAGAACAGTGATCGCTGTGGCTGTGCTGGAAGAACAGTGATCGCTGTGGCTGTGCTGGAAGAACAGTGATCGCTGTGGCTGTGCTGGAAGAACAGTGATCGCTGTGGCTGTGCTGGAAGAACAGTGATCGCTGTGGCTGTGCTGGAAGAAGAGTACTTTGTGGTGTTAGAGATTTTTCCCCGGGCTGTTGTATTCAATGTTTCTGGTTATCATGGCTTAAACTTGAGTATACATGTAATTTTGGGCTTTGCCCGCTCATCGTATCTCCATTAGGCGTTCATTTGATAACACTCCGACCTATCAGAATGCTACATCCTCTAGAAGGACGCGTACTAGGCAATGAAGTTACCTGTACCTCAAAGATTAGTATCGTTTGCGCGGAATGTACTTAGGTACTAATGGGAGCCAATATTACATTGCCTTTGAACACAACGTTCATTGTCCATTAAGTTTTGTCATCGAACTTAGTATACACTGGTTGCAGTTATACACGGCACTATATACCGTGCGCCTGATCTCGTACATTCAGTCTGTCAGGTCGTTGCCGACATCATTAATCGCTTGTCTACTGGTTTAAACCTCTGGACATTATTGCAATCCCATAGACTTTACATCATAGGTTATTTTGTATTACGCTCGACAAATTTCCCGTGCCATAGGCGAATTCCCACCCTGCGAAGTACAGGAGGTCCCCGCTTTACAGCACTTAGCTTTATGGCGTTTCACTAATACAGCGGTTTTCAATTATACCCATTCTTCATTTATTCAGATTTCCTACAATAAATATATTCACGACTCATTATAAGCTAATGACAAATATTTTAAGGTAAGTAATGTGTGTACTGTATATGCATTTAATATGTGATAGTGTAAATATGTTAATAGGCTTTGATATGCATTTGAAAGTGAAAAAAAAACAGGCTATGTTTCACGTTACAGCGATTTTTGCTTTACAGCGGAAGCCCAGAACCTAACCTGCTGTATAAGCGGGGCCCTCCTGTACTCACTTTGACCTATTGACGCCACTTAATGTGGCGTTATATCATGATACTGTTAAAATGAAAACTTCTAAGTTATAGTATATAACAACATTTACCTTGTAGTTTACACTCAAAACACTGTGCCAGAGGTTATCATACTGACCTCAGGCGAGACTGGTGCACCCCGAAGCAAGTCTTTATAATGGCAGGTAAGTTCCTCATCCTCTCCCCACCTTCCCTTCAGTCATATAATGGTGAATCTCTCTACCAATTTTTTCGTACAGTAGACGTATTTTGGCTATTCAAGAAATTTTGCCAGGTAGCCAATCTGGTACTCATTATTACTTTATTTAAGGAGAATCATAAAATCTGTAAGGGACATGCAACGCTTAGGAGAATAGGAGACACTCACGTTAGATGCAATAATAAGGGAAGAAAAGGTCCAATTCCTTGCATCATGAGCCCTTTATTAGCATCATGGAAGGAAGGGATCTGGGCGATACTGAGAACATTAACCCTGTCTAACACATTAAGGCCACCGGCATGTGTCAGGTGCTGAAGACAGCCTGGGAGTGTCCAGCTCCAGATTAATAGCTTGGTTTTCTATACTGTTATGAAGTTAGAGATAAAGTGGGAAAGGCCGTCCAAAAGAGAGGTGCACAAGGAATGAGCAAACTTGTGCTTCGTTCGAAGCTTTGAAGCTAATACTAATAAGCTTCTACGAGCTAAATTTCATATTTTTTCTGGTCTGCTTTGACTGTAAGGTTCAGTAAATGATTCCTTCAGTGGGAGACACCTTGAGGCTCTTGAAGATCTCTTGATCGAAGAAATTGGACCTAACCTCTATTTAATTAATCCTCCCATTTCCCAGGCGGTATATGATTCCTACGGTTTTATCGCTTCCACATGAATATAATCAATATGTGGTTCTTCCCAGCCGCAGACTATCTGCTTTATTTATGACCCTCAGAGCAGTGGAATGTTTGTGTAGGTCAGAGTGCAGTCCTCTGCGTACATAGAATGGTTCACGGGTAAGCCATCTTATGTACTCGAAGTAAATATTGAATAACAAAGGTTGAAGTACACTTTCTGTGTATAAAGACATGTTCACACCCTTCAACTCGCTGAGTATCTAACCCACATCTTTCGGTTGTGAGCCCACAGTACCACCACTAAGCCACTAACCACCCAGTTTGAAGATTAACACTACCGACGTGTAGAATGGTACCAGAGATGCGTAGTTACTAGGTCAGGTAGCCGTGGTGCCATATCTAGTGACATGCCCGGTAGCATATTTGGTGCCATACTTGATACCATACATAACGTCGTACCTGTTGGTATACTTAATGTCATACCTAATGTTAAACCTGATGTCATGCCTGATCCATACCTAACACCATACCTAACACCATACATGATGCCATACCTGATGTCATACCTGATGCCATACATGATGTCATACCTGACACCATACCTGTTGTCAAACCTGATGTCATACTTGATGTCATACCTGACACCATACCTGATGCCATACCTGTTGTCATACCTGATACCATGCTTGATGCCATACCTGATGCCATACCTGATGTCATACCTGGTGCCATACTTAATACCATACCTGATGCAATACGTAACACTATACCTGATACCATACCTGATGCAATACCTTATGTCATACCTGGTGCCATACCTTATGTCATACCTGGTGCCATACCTTATGTCATACTTGGTGCCATACCTTATGTCATACCTGGTGCCATACCTTATGTCATACTTGGTGCCATACATGGTGACATACATAGTGACATACCTAGCGACATACCCCGTGCCATACATGATACCATTCTTGGTGACATGCCTAGTGACATCCGGTGCCACACATAATGCCATTCCCAGTGATACTCGTCTCTTCCATCATTCAGTTCTCTGTACCTGCACTCTTTCTTCTCTTTTTTAGTTTTCTTTCTTACCCTTTGTTCTGGTTCTCTCTCATCTACTCAGTCGCCCTTTCTCGTTTCGTCTTGTTTGCTTCAAGGTAGACAGACAGACAGACAGACGCACACACACACACACACACACACACGCACACACACACACATACACACACACACACACACACACACACACACACACACACACACACACACACACACACACACACACACACACGCGCGCGCGCGCGCGCGCGCGAGCGCCTCCGCGACCAACGCATTACCCGCCCCATTGACCATATAAATGCCGGAGCAAATTGAGAATCCAGACCCCTTACATGGCGAAGCATGGGGTGTCTTCTCCTCTGCTAGGCAGGGTGCCCCATTATTGAAATCAAGAAGAACATTCTTCCCATCACTGAGTCATGGGGGGTACTCAGTGGTCATAGCGTTGCCTGGGCAACCCAAAGGTCTGGCGTGCGATCCCAAGTTGTCGAATTACGTAAATGTTTAACCACGTTAGCAATAGGTACATAATTATTTACAGAAAGGCAACCCCACAGTCTCTCTGAATTCCGAGAGGCTGCGGCAGGTGACAAACCCGCACTGCGCTACTCTGAGAAAACTTC